TTTAAACGCATTGTGGAAAAACTCCAGGAAAAATAAATGCTCTCGAATTGTTCTCAAATTGCTTTCGAATGGCATGAAGACGCTTTGATAAAGTTGTAAAAGGTTGTGTTTTCTACTTCCTTGTGTGTTGTGGTGTTGTCACCCCCAAGAGCAAGCCAGAGCCAGCCACAACAGGAGAAAAGTTGTAATGAGAGTATAAATGCTACAGAAGATGTGACGGGCGGATCATTTTCTGCTCGGAACGTCCGTACCTCCAGCATAATGAGCACTTGAGTCTAACATTGACGGTGGAAAGATTTGTCCAATCACCCAACCTGTAGGGTGTGATTTTCTTTCTGAAATCCTACTCCTCCTTGTTATGTGGCTGAGGTTTAATTAGATCACAATTCAGAATCCTGGAGAGGAAGAAGTATGACGCTTCAGCTCCTTGTAAGAAGGTGAAGGCCTATATCTATTGGTTTTTTATTTATTGATCTCACAATGGAGAAATTTGCCTCTGCATTTAATCCATCCCCCTAGGGAGCAGTAGGCTGCCATCATGGGGCGCCCGGGGAGCAGTGTGGGATTAAGGGTATTTTGCTCAGAGAGCCATAGTGGCGGTCTGTGGGAGTGGGGCTCCAACTCAGAACCTAAGGATTCCAAGCTCCATGATCTGACCACCAGGCACCACTCCCCTACAAATGTTAATCCCTTTATTGTTGCACAATGGAGAAACTGGTTCTCTGCATTTAGACCCAGCCCCTTGGGGAGCAGTGGATCAATCAGGGATTAAGGGTTTTGTTCAGGAACCCATTGCAATTTCCAGCATCCTAAACAGACTTTTGAAATATAAGAAGTGGGGTTATTTTTTTTTTTTTTTTTAGTAACGCTTGCCTTGAAAATAAAGAAAATCCATAAAGTTCATAATTTTTAAAGAAATTGCTAGCTCTTTTCACTTTGGGTTCATATAAAGTTACTTTTTAAGAATTTGTTCTTGCCATAAAATTGTCTACCAGTTTTGTTTGTTGTCAGTATGGACTGTATATCTGTATTTTCTACATCCACTTCTATAAGAAAAAACACCTAATGGCAAAAGCAAAATAATCCAGTTGGATATATAACAGTACAAGGTAGAGAGATATTCAATTCAATTTGAGTTTGAACCTTCCCTTGAATGCAACAGGACACTTTATCATAGCTTGTTAAATCTGATGTCTCACCCTTCTTTGAAGCAACTAGCAACCTGCGCACATACACTGAGTCACTGCTCTAAACACACAAAACTCCATCTGGAGGAAAAAGCTTGTTGATCTAGTTGATGCCCACCATGTGTAAGCAAGACCACAATAAGCATTCAAAAACAACCTCTACTTTTGCAAATGTTTTCCATGCCTTGTCACAAGACAGGTTGGTATTTTAAGGTACACATTCACACATTTTAAACCAGTGTTTGTACTACTGGTTAAACATTAAAATAAATGAAATGAAAAGTGTCTTTCTTGTGTTCAACTTTAGTCTTTTAGCTGGCTATTAGTAAAAAAATTTTCTCTTAATACGGGCATTTAAAAAAATGAACAGAAGCTGTCAGGTCCTTTATTTCACAGTCCTTTACCAGAGGAGACTAAGTGGTGAGGGACCCATGCCACTTTTGCTTTGCTGCTGTTATTCACCATTTCTCATGGTGGCATTTCCTTAAAAAGTCTACAACAAACTTGTTGCTTTACTTCCTCACCTGCAGCATCTTTTTGTTTCATCACCTCCTCAGTAGCAGTCCACCATCTATTTTTCCATTCATTTAGAATGTCTTTATAAAAGTGCCCGCGTAGGCCATTTTAGGAAAGAGTTTAGAAACTTTTTATTGTCTCGCTTTTACAACATTTAACTTAACCTGGATTCTGTCTAAAGAGTTTTTTCGTTGACAGCTGGAGGTCAAGCTGTCCTGCACTGATCATGACTCAGCTGGTCTTGGATGCTAGTTTCCAAATTTATCTACCATTTAGTGCAGCAGACATAGCACACAGTGCAGCAGACACAGCATACAAACAGGATGCTTTAAATGAAGAAATTATGGCAGAGACATTATATATATATATATATATATATATATATATATATATAT